AGAGAGAGAGAGAGAGAGAGAGAGAGAGAGAGAGAGAGAGAGAGAGAGAGAGAGAGAGAGGCACAAGCAAAGAGCAACAGGAGGAAATATCTCCAATGCGCAGAACGCACCGAGAGACAACGATACGAGAGACACGTAGAGACAGAGAAAAAGGAAAAAAATGAATGAAGAACACCAGCACAAAGGCAGACATCTGCAACAGGCTGTGCTACGCAATATCTCTCCGACAGGCACCACAAGTCCATTTTACACTTTTGTGCGTCCGTACACTTCGGTTGATCTGAAACCTGTACGTAGTGGCAGCAGTTGCATCGGAAGGTGCAGCAGCAGAGGCGCGGCTGCTGTTGCTGCTGCTGCTCTTGCTGCTGCTGCTGTACTAAAGGCTTGGGCTTGAAGAAGGGCCACCATGAGGGATAAGGATGTGGAGACACTTCCTCGCTCCTCTAGAAGCAGCTGTGGCTGAGGTTGCTGGAACTGAAGGGGCAAAGAGGAGCGCAAGGCCGTTTTGCCACAGCCTCTGCTGCAGCTTATCCTTTACACTGCATGCATAGCCCCGCTAACACCACCTACAAGGAAGGCGGGGGGTGAGCGGGGGAGGCGCGCGTGTCGGTGCACGTGGGTGTCGTCCGAGACGCCCACATCCCAAGGCTCTGCTCCATGAGCGCATCCCCCCTTAGGTACAACAGTAGCAGCAACAGCTCAATCTCTGCTGCGGCTCCTTCTAACGCACCTCCATCCCCTCATGCTGCGCATCACAGAAAATCCACATGAGCCTCCTACACGCTCTGCTGCAGCGGCGGCAGGTCCTGGCCCCTCAAAGAAATGCGCAGTCTCCATAGTTGTTTCTACTCGGAGGGAGAGGAGGCACACAGCATGACGTAGCTGCATCTTTGGAAAGGTTGTTTTAGTGCTAGGGCTTGGGTTTGCGTACAGCTTACAGGACTAGCGGGGGACGCATAATGGTAGTTTTTGTGCGCTTGTACTGGCATAAGTAGGTGCATGCTTTCATTTCATGCATACTCGGTATACTGGAAACGCAGCAAGGATTCAGGTGATTCTGCATACGCCATGTGCGCATGCACAATCACCTTGTTATGCTTACGAGTTGTAGCAGAGAGTTGGACCACGCAGAAGGAGAATGGAAGAGTAGAAGAAGGCCTGTGCCAGGTTCCCCCTTAAAAGAAAAGGGCAGGACGTAGCGCTTCTGTGCTGTAGACCCTCAGCACGTGCCTCGTGAGAAAGAAGGGAAGGCACATTATGACATACCACGCCAAGAGCAAATGCAGGGCAGGCAACCATGAAGAGCTGCTGCAAATGCAAGTTCCAAGCTGCACTGCTGAATGGTTGGCAGACAATGGGAACACAGATGAGAAAATACCACGCGCATGCAGCCATTGCTGCTCACAAAAAGCTCAGGCAGCACAGATGGCCAGATTTAAAGGGGTCACGAACCCCCCCACTAATGAACTCTGCCGTGGAGACATCGAATGGCTGCAAAGTGCCCTAGAGCAAAGCAAAGCAAGACAGACGGGAGAGTCGGCAACAAGCGGGGAGGTAGAATTAGCCTCCACTAGCCTTCCTCAAGGTGCAAGACGCAACGCCGTCCTTAACAAGTTCCCCGCAAGGTTTCCAGCGGTGAAACGCGCGGTGACGAAAAGGGCAAAGGGAATGGAGGCCACCAGCGCCACCAGGAGAAGAGAAATAATAAACGAAATGTCGCTCAACGTGAAGGCGAAATGCTGCGAAATGAATGCCACCCCTACAAGCGTAGGCAAGTTGTAGACGGTGAAGAACATATACCACGAAGTCCACACCACCTTATCAGATACTCCCAATATCTTAAGCATGTTCTGAGGCAGAAAGAAAAAGCGCAACACCGCCCCCTCTCCACAATGGAATGAAAACACTTTTATTGCCCAAACATCATTGGAGTTAAACCTGCAGAGGCAGTCGAACCGATCCAGAGAGTGCAAACCAACATGCACTAGAAGTGGGAGACGCATATGCAGTCATATAGTAATATGGCTGTGACGCAATTTGAACCCCGTCCCCTTGTCCAGCATAATTGCCTCCACTACTTGCCAAAGAATGCAAACGAACAAGACGACGAATGGTGCAGCACTCGAATGCGGCTTTCCAGAGCGAGATATTACAGTTGCAGGGGCGAAAGGCATTGCTGACTCCCTGTGCAAAGACGCGGCGCACAAAGTACTCATCAGCCTCATATTAGTTTGACGTTTTCACATCTCAGTTCGCCACAGCTTCGGGAAAACATTAGACGGATTCTGGCTAGGGGTTAGGTGCGCACATCGCAACGAAATTCATCGCTCAAGCACAAGACGGGCGTGTGACTGCGACTGTCTCTTCAGGGTGGTCTAGAAGACGTTAAGTGCACCCGGCTCCCAAAAAAATCAAACGGATTCTACGCCCTGCGCACAGGGGTACTGACGTTTCGTAGTATGCCCTGCAATGGGCCGACCATGGCCATAATTAATCCAATTCCCATTTTCTGGGTGCGGGAGTAAAAAGCAATTGCAGAGTAGCGCATGACAAACTTGTTGATGTCTGTCCTGCTTGACTTGCGAATAATCTTTTATACGTAGGGACCGGTGGATGGAGATGAACCGAAGCTACATGTATTAGAGTGTACCCTGAGATGCATCTGACAACGAAAACACAAACGGCGCACTCTCTCCAGCAACTGCATAAGAGGCGAAGGTAGATCACACCCTGCGGCTGCTACTCGTCTCGTGAATAGACGAACTAGGCCGTATCCGGGGCCTGACAGCCATGCATGCGGCAAGTGGCGGTAAGCCTGCGATGGACCTGCGGAGAGCAGACAGCAACTAAGACAAGAAAACCAATCTCCTTTACTACTACGGGACTTGGGAAGAATGCAGGGGGAAGGAACGCAAGCTCCCGTGGGCGTTCGACAATGATCTTATGCGTGAACAAACTGGAGGGAAGCAGAAGAGAATACACCAAATTCTGAAATAACCGGATGAGGTCGCTTGATCGTTTGCGGCTGAAATGCAAATAACAAGAGCCAACATCTCGGACAAGTGTGTCTCGGTCTCCCGGACAAACGACTTCATTTGTCCTCTTCGGTTTCGTGAAAATGCTTAGGAGATTCACATTGCGCAAGGGAAAACAGTGGAACAAATATATTACGAAGAAGACAGATAAGTGCAGCTCTTCTTTATGCCGGGTGCACGTTGTAGTTCCTTCACAGCTGCAGTTCCATGGTGTTCTGCAGCTGCTATCATTGCTCACTGGGGTTGGTGTTGTATTTTCCTGCGTCTGTTGTAGTTCGCCTGTGCAACTATTCAAGCTGTTCTCTGCATGCACTGTAGTTGTTCTCTGTATGTGTTTTTGTGGTTTTCTAAAGCTGTTACACAGTTGTACTGTGCAACTGTTGTGTAGTTGTTCTCTGCAGCACCACAGTGAACTACAGGACGGGCTAGAGGGATTATTGCCTTCGCCTCTAAAACTATCCCCTTTTATTGAGCGCCTCAAAATGCAATCGGAAAGAACGGGGAGCAGTCCAGTCAGCAAACCATTAGGCGCGCCTGCAACAACGCGCTGCAGATCTGCAGCTGCAACAGCAGAGTCGCCCCCAGCTTCCCATCGTATTACCATATCCTTTCTTCGTTCGTTGAGTGACCAGTTAGAAGTATATGATTCTAATTGAGGTAATACCATAATACTAGAAGAAGTATATACTCGAACTACTTCCCGGCTAAACTTCCCTTAGTTTTTCTAAGAAACACACTTCCCTTCTCGCCAGTTTTTGTAGAGTGTGCGCTGCTTAGGGGCGAGGGCGAGGGGGCAGAGCAGATGTAGTATGGCCGGCGACAAGCTAGTACGCGTATCCTGACTTAGCTGCAGGTCAGCTATGTTTAGGAGCTGTTAACATTGCCACCGCATGCAGCCAATGGGTCTTCGCCGTAGTTGTACTTGAGGGTTTCGCGCACCGCTAGTTGGAGAAATTAGAGCTTCAACTAATGAAGCAGGTTCAGGAACTTGTTCCGCTGTGAAGAGGACATCTAGAAAGTGGGAAAGAGGCTAAATACAATTCTGTGCATTCATTTTTTTAGGTGGTTAGCTACTGCAACTTGAATAGCTACTGGATCTATAGCTGCGACCTGCGCCGCGCGTTCGCTTTCTTGTACTCTGTTGGGTGAATTAAGCTGTATTTTCTTCGTACATTTGATTTTATCTAAAAAGAAATTAATTTAAGTGCAATAGGGCTTATGGAGGTAAGCAGCATATATGCGGAACCCCACAGCCCCTCTCCCAAGAGGAGGAAGAGGGTTTTTGCCGCGATATCTTATAGAAAATGAAACCTAATGGACTATTTGAATTATAATAGAAATTTTGATTGATTCAGAGGGGAGAAAAGCTCAAGAATTCAAAGAGGGAGAAGATACACTCGCTAGCGCAGATCCCCCGCAGCTGTTCCTAGCCAGTGCTTGGGTATAGGTTAGCTGGTTTTTCTTTGGACTATTGTGTATAAAACTGAGTTTAAACGGTATATTTTGAACGAAATGTAAACGTAGAAACAATTAAAACGCGTATAAAGAGGGTTGTTATCGATTTATAAGGATAAATATTGAGTTAATGTAGAAGCCCCATATCAGTGGCGGCTGGCCACAGAGCCGCAGGAACTGCAAGCTCCATCGAACTGACCAGCTTCCTCTTGTGCGTTTTTCTTGCACTGTTTCTCCTCATTTTTAAGTTTACCCGCGGGGAAAAGAGTTTGTCCCATTTTTATTCATTTAATTGCGTTTTTCCCTCGCATTTTTGAAACAGGGTTTCAACTGTAGGCGCTCTCCGGCGCTTCGGCGCCGCCCCCGCCAGGCCTTGTATCCCTTACCACCCCCCCCCTTATTCTTTTCCTTTTTATTTAAATATTGAATTTATGTTTAAAATGTACGAACAAAAAGGTGAGCAACAATCATCATCTGCATCTGCAATGCCGCAGCTGCGGAGAGGGGCACGCAGTTCTCCGGTGCTGCTGCTTCAGCAGCAACAGCGGGCGCATCGCCGTCTGCCTCTGGTGTTGCTGCTGCTGCTCTCGCTGCTCCTTTGCCGCTGCAATCTCGCAGCGGCAGCACAAAATTTAGATGGAGTTGGCGGGGAGGCAGGGGAGTTTGAAGAAAATGGGGTTGTAACTACAGGACAACCTGAAGGAGCTCCTGCAGCAGTAGATGTTGCAGCTCCTACAGCAGGATCTGTCCCTCTGGATGATAACATGGGAGATGTTGTGGAGCTTCAAGGCGCTGCAGCATCAGACAAAAGTGCAAAATGGAAGAAATTCGCTCCTGCTGCTGCTTTGCTGATAGTGCTGGGTCTTATTTTAGCAGGTCTGTTCGGTGGCGGTGCTGCTGAGGAGACAAAGGAACCCGTAAAGGTAGAGGGAGAAGAGGAAGAAGAAACTCCTAGGGGCGAAGACGAGAAAAAAGAAACTCCAACAACAGAGCCGGCAGCTGGAGAAACCTCGCCTACACCTACAGAGGGAGAAGAGCAGCAGCAAGAAGAGACACCATGGGGGCCCCCAGAGCAGCAGGAGCAGGAGCCGGAGCCGCAGCAGCCGGAGCCGCAGCAGCCGGAGCCGCAGCAGGAAGAAGAAGAACAGCAGCCAACACAACCAGAACTGCAGCCAGGGGAAGGAGAAGGTGAAGAAGAGGAAGAAGAGGAAGAAGAAGAAGAAGTTGACGAGGAGGCCATTGCTGAGCAATCATATAGATTACAGACGTTTCGTGGCTGCTTCTTCCCTGCTTCTAGTTTAGATACTGCTCTTGGTTTACCAGAGTCTGCCGCTCTGGTAGCTGACCTAGAGCAAGCTATTCAAGGTGGAATGATGTATAGGGATCTTGCTTTGGCCGGAGATGCAGGCGCACTTGCTGCTTTTGGTCGTGCTAATGATGAAGCATCCGGCATTGTTGCTGGTTTGGATGATTTGGCTAGACAGACACTCGTTGCTCTCGTACAGAAAGCAGAGGAATGCCCTGGTGCAGCAGAAACAGCAGATGCAGCTGTTGCTGCTCGGCCATTAGAGCAGACAGGGGCTGCCGGATATGTAGAAGCGTGGGAGCAGCTTCTAGGTATATGCGAGACCGGCATAAGTTTCTGGAGAGGTGAAGCTTCTTCTGTTGCTGAGACGCTGCTGCTTCACCCTCCGCTGCAGCCGGGTGAGAAGGAGCCATCTATGAACTGGGTTCTCGTTGCAGATCGTGTTGGTGTTGATGCAGCGAACCGTTCTTTAGATGAGCAGGACACAATATCAGAGGTAGCAAGGCGGTTGCAGGAAACAGCTCTTCAGCTGTTGAAGCATCATAACTTAGGTACCCTGGAAGCGCAGCTAGTGAAGGTAGCAGCACAGGAAGAGGTCTGTGCTCTGATGCTGGAAGGAGTAGAACATAGAAAGAAGCAGCAAGGTGCGACAGTTGAAGATGATAGTGATCTGCAACGATGGCTTTGGAGACAAAAGGGCTGCCGAGAGTCATTAGATGCCCTGCAGCAGCACCTGGGGAGTGTGCACTCCGCAGGTGGCTTTTCAGAAGCAAACAGAGCAGTAGAAGCAGCAGAAGAAGCACTAAGTCACCTAAACGAAATGCTTACTACACAAATGGATGAGCTTATTGGTTTCTTTGGTGAAGCAGGCCCGCCGACTGTATCAGAGCTTCTGCAGGAACAGCTACACCCAGGAGAACCAGTAACTCCAGACGAAATGCTGGCGCAATTACCTGCGTCTTTGGGCGGCTTTGATGCAGCAGCAGAGCACACAGAACAGCTGCTAGAGGGTCTCTTCGCTAGTTGTGAAGTACAGCTGGGAGGTATGGGGGCTGTGCCGTGGATGCCTCAGGCGGTTTTGGAGACAATGGGGCAGCAGCTTGGGGCTATAATGAAGCAAACACAGGTAAAGAAAGACGCATTAATAACGCTTGTCGGAGATATACAAAAGAAAGATGATGTAGGTGTTCTATTGGCTTCTACAGAGGTAGCTACAAAAGCAGCTGCGATGTATGGCCAACAGCGTAGTGCTGTTTGGCAGCTGCAGCAGGACATAGATGCATTGGAACTTATGAATGTGATGGTGTCAAGTACAAAGGGATCAGTTGAAGAGGCTCTAGATGCAATGGCAGGGATGAAGGTTTTATCTCCTGAGGAGCAAGAATTGGCAGCGCAATTAGAAGAGAAGATGGATGCCGCATATAAAGCAGCAACTTCAGCAACAACCCTTGCTGATGCTTTATCTGCCGGTTCTCAATATATAAATGCAGGAAGAAAGCAACATGATCTTATTACAAAGGCTGTTCTTACTGATACGCTTAGACGAGCAGACGAAGCTGCAGCAGGAGGCACAAGCCTACCTTTTCCATCACCTAGGAGAGTGTCTACAAGACCAACGATGCCGCCACCACCCCCCCCACCACCAACGCATTCTTCTGAACAAGCCTCTGAAGGCGTTGGAGGGCAGCAGCAGGAGCAGGGACAGGATGACGAAGCAGCAGAAGCGGCCACAGCAGCAGAAGGCGCCACCACCGCAGCACAAGAAGCCGCCACCACCGCAGGGGAAGCAGCAGCAGGGCCAGAAGCACAAGGAGATAAACAAGCAACGTCAGCTGAGTCTGAGGAGGGAGGTGGATGGCATGAACGGGGTGAAGGAGAAGGAGCAACGAGTGCACAAGAGGATATGTCAGTTTTCTCCACACAAGAAACACCTCCTCAAGACCCAGAACGCATAGCAGGACCGGTGAATCCAGATGAAGAAGCAGGCAATGAAGACGAATCAGGATTGGAGGAGCCGCCAATACAACCACAATCAGCAGTAACAGTAGGAGGAAGAGGTTTCCCGCCGAGCGCGGCACTGCAAATGCTGTCACAACCTGGAGGGCAAGACGACGACGAAGACGAAGGAGGAGTTTGGGGCGACGAGGACGCCGATTGGGAGGAAGACGGTGGTGAATCCGCTGCATAAACATAAGTCAAAACAGCAAAAGCAGCAGCAATAGCAGCAGCTGCTGCAACACAACCTAAAGACAAAACCACAGCAGCCGTGGAGACAGAAGACCCCAAAGTGACACCACACAGCTGAAGCAAGGGACATATATATATATATATATATAAATGAATATATATATATATATATAGTAGAGGGTGAAGAGGGGGCCTAATTGCACTCAGTGGCAAGAAGTAAAAACAAAAGGAAAAAGTATAAAGGGGAAAAAAGAAGCAAAAATACCGAAGAAAAGAAAACGAAGATGTCTCGGTGCATGGAGAAGAAGTGTCTCAGAGCAGCAGCAGCAGCAGCAGCAGCACCAGGAGCAACAGCACAACAGCAGAGATGACGCAGCGGGAGAGAGGAGTAGAGACACACTGCAATACAGTAGTATTGCTGGTTGCAGCTTGTTGTAAAGCAAAGGAGGCTTTGCTTGTTCGTAGCTGCTGCACAGAGGAGACACGAGAAAGAAAAAGAGACAAACATAGGGATATATACAGAGGCAGCGATGGAGGAGACAAACACCAGCAGGAGACAGGTGGCGTTTTAAACAGGGACCATCGCAAGAAGAAGCATTTGCAAACAGCTTGCTTCTGTTTGCGTCTGAGGTGTATCTTCATCAGCAGCTGCTTCTTTTATTTCTTTATTTATTTATTTCTTTCTTTGTTTCTTTCCTTCTAAGGGATAAACAGCCGTTTGCTTGCTGTTCAGTAACAGGGCGTACTTTGTACATCTACCGGTATTCCTCTTGGAGAAATACAGTATATATTATATATATGAAGTATATAATATATGTATTATATATAATATATAATGCATATTATATATAATAACATATATATTATATATAACGTATATTGTATATATTATATATTATATATATAATATATATTATCTATATAATACTATATAGATAGTCCATATTATATATAATGTATATTCTATGTACATTATAGGTGTGGTAAATGGTTTCACGTTTTTGTTAAGTTCCGTGTATATATACGTATATATACATATATATATATATATACATATATAAATATATATATATATATTTATATACATATATATATGTGCATGCATGTATGTATGTATCTGTGTACATATGTATGTATATATAAAATATATCTACTTATACATATTTTGTGTATGTATATTTGCATATATGTATATATATGTATATATGCACATATATACATGTCTATATCTATATATTTTTATATATGGATATATGTACATATAAAAGAAAAGCTATACTGCATACAGAATATATATTATATATATTTTTATATAATATATATTTTGTATATACTGTATTATTGTAAGACAACATGCAGGTGCAGCAACTGTCTAACCGTTTACTTCATTTGCATTAGATGCAGTATTTGTCTTCATACACCTCTTAAACAAGAATAAAGAAATAAATAGAGGAATAGAGAATATATAAATAAACAAATCAACGCTAGGAGCAAACCCCTGACATCTTGCTGCAGCAGCAGCATATGAATAAACCCCTAGCATTGTGCTGTTGCAGCAGCGATAGATATATAAGAAATGAGTAGCACAGGAAGAGAAACAGAAAGAGACAAACAAAAAAATTATTCATCCATTTAAATTGGACGCATGCAATAAACAAACAAATACAAGAGAAGGCAGCCAAGCATTAGGAAGGCAGTATACAGAGACAACAGAATAAGCAGTGCATGCAAACAAAACAAACGGCAACAAACGAAAGTGAAAAACAAACAAGAAAATAACAAAGAAGGAAAAACTGCCAACAGCAAATCTCCGTTGGAGACGACAGCGAAAATATGAATACGCACTGTCAAGATGCGTCTGCAGCATCGGTAGTTAATGCAAAATAAAAAGAATAAAATGTACAGGAGGGAGGGTAAGCCGGCATACCCGTATTGAAAATAAAAGGAAAAGGTTTTCAGACAAAATAAAACAAATGTCGTTGATGCTCTCGCGTGGTGTTTTATGAAAGTATTATTCTGCGGTGTACAGATAGGGAGGCACTTTTTTTCTGTTTCTCCCTCTCCGGACGGCCATCAATTAGCTCTTTTCCTTGCCCTTTCACTGCACTGTCTGTCTACCTCCTTGTTTGTCTCCTTATCTGTGTTTTTGTCTCCCTGTCTGCTTGCCTTTATATGCCTCGTTGTTTCTGTTCATTTGTCTTTATCTTGTTGTCTCTCCTTATCTCTGTCCATTTGTCTCCTTGTTTGTATCATTTTCTGTCTATTTGTATATTTATTTGCAAACAAGGAGACAATCAGACAGTCTCTGATTGTCTCCTTGTTTGCTTCCTCTCCTGTCTCTGTATCTCTGTTTATTTGTCTCTCTGTGGTTGTCTCTAACTGTCTGCTTGCCTCCTTGTTTGTATCTTGATCTCTCTTTCTATTTGTGTCCTTGTCTGTCTCCTTTTCATCCTATATATATAGCTAGCCAGTTGGCTAACTAGCTAGCCATCCAAAACAGTACGAGAGGAGCATTCATCTCTTCAAACGGAAGTTGGTTGATACCAGCTTAAACGCCCCGTCGGCACACCGCCTGCCCAGCTAGATAGCTAGCTATCTAGACAGCTAGCTAGCTAGTTAGCTAGCTAGCTGGGCAGCTAGTTAGCTAGCTAGCGGGGCAGCTAGCTAGCTGGGAAGCTATGCATGCCCGCTGCGGGAGTGTTTGTTTATTACCTGTTACCTGCTGTACGACAGAAGGGTAGCTAGCTATTTAGCTAGCTGGTTAGCTAGCTAGCCGCTGTTATTCAGTTTTGTTTATCGCGTAGGAAGATTTCTGTGGGTTTGCCTGCAGGCTGTCCCGTTGCAGAAGCAGCAGCAGCAGCAGCAGCAGCATCGTTGGTATGCTGCGCATGCTGCTCCGGTCTTAAAGGATAGAGATTTTGTACATGAGGGTCTTGATGAATCTGTGTGCAATAATTACAAGGAAGAAAAGGAGCACCCGTTGGGCAACCTGCACATGACCCCACAAGTGATGCTGCAGCCGGAATTCCTGTATGTACACCTGGGTCTCTTCCGTTGTGAGAGCGGCAGCTGCCCTTCATCTTCTAAACAGCACACAAACAAACAAAATAAAAAAATGAATTAATAAATAGGGGAAATGCATTTAAAACGCTAGTTATGCCCCTTTCAATATATCAATGTGTGTGTGTGTGTGTGTGTGTGTGTGTGTGTGCATTGATAAATACATATCAATATTTATAAATCTACATATATACACGTATATATATATATATATACATATATAATTGCGTATATATATATATATATATATATATACAAATGTGCACACACACATCCACACTCAACTCCTAAACAAAACATTGAAGAGAGCAGCAGCTGCTGCGCTCCTAAAGAACGCATGCACGCACTCAATACATTTCTTCTTCTGCATGTATGCATGCAGAAGAAGAAGAACTGTATTGATTTCTATATACAGGTATACAGAAACAATACAAACGGTAAGACGCAGCAGCAGCTAGCAGCAGATAGACAGACGCTGATGATGTACTAACAAAGAAGAGTTGGGGCTTAGGGTTTTATTATAAGGAGTAAACTCACTGAAACAAATCAACAATAGAAAAGAAGGAAAAAAGAGAGCGAATAGCCCTTAATTGACAAGGAAGACAATGAATGACCTGCAAAAGGAGAAAAACAACAATAAAATCACCATTGTTTAGGGTTAATTAGGGTTTATTAGGGTTTATTAGGGTTTATGAGGGTTTGTGAGGGTTTATGAGGGTTTATGAGGGTTTATTAGAATTTATGAATATGCAGGGTTTCTAAATGTTTGCTAGGGTTCAAGTGGCAAGTAGCACATATGCTCCTTCGCCTCCTGTGCTCGATTAAAAGCATTAAATGACTTGACTAGGGTAAGAAATGAAGAATAAACAGCAAAGAAAACGAAGAAAACTCGAATAAGATAAGCCATAAGCGGTTGCTGCTTCTTTTTGCATATTTGCGGAAAGGAGGAAAAGTGATGGAATAAAGAGCATAATATGCCATACATACCTCGATAAATGAGAGAAAAGAACTTTAATAAGTCAATAAAGTGTAAATAAAATAAAATGATTCATAGAACACCTCAGGTTTCCTCTGCTTTCCTTCCTCTTATCGACGGTTAGCTGTTCGGTTGAAGTGTGTTGATGAACGGAAGATGGGGGGGTTGTTGCTTGTTGTTCTCCTCTGCATTTTTATTGTTTTATTCATTTACTTCAGGTATTAAAAGGTATTCTAAAGGTATTTTCCCCTCGTTTTCCCCCTTTCCTTCTCAAACTTACACTCCAATGGCGGCCTCTCTGATACAGCGCCTCACCTTCTGGTTCACCGGTGAGGGTTTAGGGTTGAGGGTTTAGGATTTAGGGAACGCCGCGATATAACGGGGTTTGTTAGCAACGCTTTTGTGATTAAATTAACTCCATTTGGCCTCAAAGGAAGGCATCATCAGCAGCAGCAACAGTACCTGCAGCAACAGGAGGAGGAGCAGCAGCAGCAAGTCGATACTGTGCTGCTACTGCTGCTACTGCTGCTGCCTTGGTGCAAAATAGCAGTAGAACTCATAGAAAACACAGATAGAAGGGAAGAAGACGCAGGATCCACGCAGAAACAAACCCTAAACACTAAACCCTTGATAACAGCCCGCAGCGGGAAGAGGCACTGGGAAAACCCCCCAAACCCTAAACCCTAGACCGTAAACCATAAAACTTCAGCCTTAAACCCTAAACCTCAAGCTTCACACGCCCCCACTGGGCTACACAGTTGAGACTGGGCCCCGACACTGCCAGCTTTCCGTGCATCATTTCGCTGCTTTTGCTGCTGTTGCTGCTGCCGCTGCTGCTGCTGCTGTTGTCGTTGGTGCTGCTGCTACAGGTGTGGAGAATCCCCCCCAGGTGCCTCACCCTTCCCATATTCGCCCCATTATTCTGGAAGCGCGCGCCATGCTCAACATCAGTAAGCCTAAACCCTAAACCCTAAACCCTGGCTAGCCTCTGTGTTAGTTTGCAGTCCTCGGTGGTTTTCCTCTATTTTTTGTTTTTTTTATTTGCATTGTTCTATTTTTAAAACCTTATTTGTTTAATGTGCTGAACAGAAGCCGCCCTGCAGTGGTTTTTGGTTTTTCTTCATGGTTTGTCTTCTGTAAATAATGCAATAATCCAATTAAATGCATAAAATATGATTATATAATTGTACATATGCATATATATATATATATGTATATATATATATATGTACTATGTGTATGAGTCCGAATATAATGTAATAAGCATATAAATGTGCTTTAAGTAGTAATAGATTTAATCTCAATTATATTTATTTGTTTATTGCCTTTGTTTGTAATACAGAGCAGAAGCTCCCGGAAAATATGAGTAGAGAAGAAATAATAAAACTTGTAAATGATTCTGTTACCGACGAGCAGCTGCAAGCGCATGCATTGATGGCGATGAAAGAACAGTTGGGGCTGACATTTGATGCTAAACTTAATCCAAACATGCCCGAACCTAAGTACCTAGGCTCAACTCTCTAAAAAAATAAACAGCAGTAGTAGTAGCAGCAGCAGCAGCAGCACAAGAAGCAGCTGCTGCACCAGCAACGGAACTGGAAGCACAAGCGGAAGCAACAGCAGCAGCTGCAACACTAGCAGCAGCAGCAACCGCAACAGCAACAGAATCAAAAGGAAGACATACAGGAAGGGAGCAGAAAACAAATATATTTATTTAGGTGGCTTCTACTCTGTTGCAGAGACAACAAGAAAATAAGTGAAACAGAAGAAAAAACAAAACTGCAGCAGCAGAAGCAGCAGCAACAGCGGAGTTGGGGCTGCAAGCATGCACCAACGCATGCAAACATCGGAACGAAATCATTTAAACGCGCAGTAAACTAAAGAGAGACCTTATTAAGGTGTACGTGCACCTGAACCCCACACGGTGTATATACACCAGGCTTACGGTGTATGTACACCTGATGCAGCGCAGGGAAGAGCTATTGTGTGTTTGCAGTTGGTTTAGTGTTTATGTACGTCTTATTTAAGGTATATGCAGCACACCTTGTTCTCTCACAGTGTCCGTACACCTCGTTTGGGGTCTATGTTTGTACAACATATAGAGTATACATATATATATATATATATATACATATATATATATATCTACCTGGTTTTGGGTGCTATGTATGTACGCACACCTTATCTCGTTTGAGGTGTATGTACGTACAGCTGGTTGGTGTTGGGTGTATATTTATTCTTTCGGCGAGGAATTCGGGGCCTCGGAGTTTAACTAGAACCGCCGTTTTGGTTACAGGTCTATATGCAGGTCGAACACAAGAGGAAAAGTGATATATATATGTATATATACATATATATATATATCTATATGTATATATATATATACATATATATATATGTATATATACATATAGATATATAGACATATAGTTATATATATATATATATATATATATATATATGTACATATAGTTATATATGTACATATATATGTAGTGAGAGATAGATAGATATATAGATATTCATATATAGATGTATATATTCACATATATGTAAATATATGAATGTATGTATATATGTATATTTATATATTTGCTGGTGGTAGTAGGCAGGAGGTAGTAATTAAGACAGAAGAAGTGCTGTAGATGGAAGAGGAGACAAGAAGAAAAGAAAGAAGGTAAACAGAAAACAAACAAATGCAGCGAACAGAGACAGACAAGCCCCATCACCTGTTAAGGAAGGCATCCACAGAAACATACCTTCATAGATTAATATATATATATATATGTAGGATATATATATTTAGATATAAATAATACAGATATGTGTAGTATATGTGTTTTGTAGGTGCATATAATATATATACATATACACATATATATATATATATATATACATATATATATATATATATAATGGGTGTATATGTGCACAGATACTTCATTTGGATTTGTGCACGCGTAGTTAGATATTCAAGTGTATAAACATATACCTAGTATACATATATATATATATATATATGTATATATATGCATATATACATGTATAATATATATATATATATATAGATGCATATTTAAACATTTTTATAGGTATGGACCTATCTAGATGAATAAGATGCGGATAGAGGAGAGGAAGAAATACCGAAAGAGAAACAAAAGAAATAATAAAGAGACGCAAAGAAAACCAAAAGACAACCCCCCAACTCTGTTAGCAACAAACATTAACTGCTGCAGCTGCTGCTGTTGCATTTGCTGCTGCTGCTGCTGTTGCTGTTGCATTTGCTGCTGCCGTTGCTACTGCTGTTGCAGCTGCGGCTGCTGCTGCTGGGTGCTGAAGAGGCCCTTTAGCCTCAGCACGATAAAGAGCAGCAACAACAGACTACAGCAATACCATTAGCAGCAGCAGCAACACGCAAATGAACAGCAGCAGCATAAAAACGAGTAGCAGCAGCAACAGAAGAAGTATAAGATGCAGCAGCAGCGGCAGCGGAAGCAGCAGATGCAACAGCAATACAATACGAAGCAGCAGCAGCAGCAGCAGCAAACATAGAAAACACGAAGTGCTGTTAAAGAAGATTGCCCGCTGGACTGCAGCAAGCCTTAAACACTATTCCTTAAACCCTAAACCCTAAAACCTAAACCCTAAACCCTGAACTCTAAACCCTAAACCCTAAACCCTTAGTGCTAATCCCTAAACCCGATAATCTACCATAAGACCCGTAGCCTTAAACCCTTAACCCTATATCCTAACTTGAACGCTTAAGCCTTACTTATCCTTAAACCCTAAACCCTAAACCCTAGGGCCCAAACCCTAAACCTTTATCCGTAGACATTAAAACTTACATCTTAAGTCCTTAACCTTAAACCCTAGACCTTAAACACTAAACCCTAAACCCTAGGACTCTGAAATACTAACCCTCGATGAGCCCATCGTATTAAACACTGAGCGGAGCCCTCTGGTGCGATGAAGACCCTAATTAAAAAAAATAAAAATAAAAATATATAATTATAATTAAACATTCTATTTTATATTATTGCTTTTATTATTTATTTTCCGTCAACAATGCACACCTCCTGAAACTTCGCCCCCGAGTATCGTCGAGGGGCTGTTGCTGCTGCTGCTGCATGCAGGCTTTCTTCCCTCATTTCCTTCCGTTAGGGTTTAGGGTTTAGGGTTTAGGGTTTAGAGTTTTGCTCTGCTGGCCACCCCGGTTGTTCCGGCGGTGTGTGTGTGTACACGGGATACCGCAGCAGCAGCAGGAGCGGCGCTGCGGCTGCAGCATACTTTTGGTGTTGTTGTTGGTGTTGCTGCTGCTGCTGGGCTGCTGGCTTGCTGCTGGTGCTGCTGCAGCACGGATGGCTGCTGCAGCTGCAGCAGTTCGGCTGCTGCTGGTGCTGCTGCTGCTTATTTCGTTGCCTTCTCAAGACGCAGCAGCAGCAGAAGCAGCAAAACTCCCAGTACCCTAGGGAGCAGCAGCAGCAGCAGCAGCAACATCATCAACAACAGCAGCAGCAGCAATAGTGGCGGCAGCAGAAGCGGCAACTGCAGCAGCCGCAGCATCAGCAACGGCAACAGCGGCAGCCGCAACAGCAGACGAGCTTAAGGAGTGGCAGTTGTTTAGTTCAAGCGCTGTCGCAGGAGCAACAACAGCGGCAGCAACTGCAGCAGCAGCAATACTAGCACCTGCAGCAGCAGCAACACAATCAGCTGCAGCAGCAGCGACACTTGCAGCGGCAGCACAGGAGCACCTGCGTCAGCAGCAACACTAGCGCCTGCTGCAGCAGCAACACTGACACTTGCAGCAGCAGCAGCAACTCTGACACCTGCAGCAGCAGCAACACTGGCCCTTGCAGCAGCAGCAGCAACAACAACAATGTCGGGGGGCGTCTCGTTGCGGGAGCAGCACGTTGATGCTTCCGTAGATTTTGCTACTCAGTCTATCTTGGGGTTTACTTCTTTATCCCTTGAGATCAGTGGGGCCCTTGTTGCTGCTGCTGTTGCTGCTGCAGATGCGTTTGCTGCAGCTGCTGCGGATTCTTCCGATCCTGCAGCAGCAGGAGCAGGAGCAGCATCAACAACAGCAGCAGATGCAGCAGCAGATGATTCTCGTATCCCCTTCGCTATACCTCTCCACGTAAGCCCTCCCTCTTCTGCTGCTGCTGTGGCTGCTGCTGCTGCCGTTGCTGCTGCTGCTGTTGCTGTCGTGCTGGTATTGCTGTCTGGCTGCTGCTATCCTGCTGCCGCTGTTGCAGTCTTGGCGCTGCTGCAGCCTTTTCTTACTGCTTTTAGCTGTAAGTGTCCTACTGTATTTTATTTTGATGCTGTTGCTGCTGCTGCTGTTTGCGTGCTGCTACTGTACTTCTGCATCTGCTGCTGCTGCTGCTGCTGCAGCTGCCACCCTGCTGCCGCATTTTTGGCTGCTGGGTGGATAAAACCCCCGCAGTCTTCCAGCTAGGCTTTGAGGGCCCGCAGCAGCAGGAAGATGACGCACAGCAGCAGCAGCAGCAGCAGCAACACCAGCAGCAGCCGCAGCAGCGCTTTATTCGGTTGGATCTTCTGACCTGGAGGGAAGAGCTAAAAGTCCGCATCAAACCCTAAACCCTTACCCCTAAACCCTAAACCCTAATCGAAGCGACATGCGAAGCCGTGCAGATGCACCAGTGCTTAGGGCCCTTCTTGAGGGGTCTAGGATATGATCCAAGGGTTTAGGGTTTAGGGTTTAGGGTTTGCGCGTATCGAGCGACGCTGCGCTCTTGTGTGCTTTAAGGCCTGTACACCCCAAACCCTAAACCCTAAACCCTAAACCCTCTTGTTCTGTTTGCTGCAGCGTTCTAGAGAAGAAGCTGTGAGGCCTCTGGTGTACGTACAGCTCCCTCCCTCTGTCTGCAGCGCGTTAATTTCAAGACAGAGCCAAGCCACAGCAAAACATGTAGGATATTAAAACCAGTAAATAATAAATAAATAAATAAATAAATAAATAAATTAATTAAATAAACATATACAAATATGTATATTAATAGGAGAAAGAATATATATATATTATATATATATTATATATATTATATATTATTAACAGTTATTGGCCTTATATTTATGTCGCTGGATAATAATAACATGTAATAATGATATATATTAATAATAATAGTAATATGAATGATATATATATTTATTAATATTAGTAATATTAATAACAATACTTATATATTATCAATATTATTTATCAATATTATTAATGACAGCTATCTGCATGCATGCATGCAGCTAGCTGTGTCTCCATGCATGCATACAGCTGGCTGTCTCTTAGCTAGCTGCATGCATGCAGCTGCAGCGGGTGCGTCCGTTTGTTTGTTTGTTTGTTGTTTATGTTCGCTGCAGAAGCTGAAGCTATCTGTGTCCTTTATGCTGTCGGGGCTGACAGACGGCAGCGGCAGCAGTCTCCTCTTCGTGCAGCATAAGTATAGAGACAGGAAGGGGCAGCAGCAGCAGCAGCATCAGGTGCTGCTCACGCTGCAGGGAGTCCTTCCATGCCCCCCTTGGTTCCCTACGCTGCCGCACAGCGCCTACGCAGCAGCAGCAGCAGCACCACCCGCAGCAGCAACAGCAGCAGCAGGAGACACCGCAGCAGCAGCAGCAGCAGAATCGCCGCTGCACTGCAACTGGAAGACAGTTGTTGATGTACCTGAAGGCTGCTGCGCCGTTATGCCTGGGATGCTGACGAGGAGGTTTGCTGCTGCTGCTGCTGCTAGACTTCGCCCGCTTGCTGCTGCAGCAACAGAAACGGCAGCCGCTAGGAAGAGAGTAGCTGCTGCTGCTGCAGCTGCTGCAGCTGCTGTTGCTGTTGCTGGGAGGTCTCAAGCATCAGAAACAGCAGGACCAGCATCAGCAGCAGCAGCAGGAGCAGCAGAGGCCGATGGCTCGAGCTCGGCAGCGGCTGAGCAGGAGGGAACTCCCGTTGCTGATGCTGCAGCAACAGCAGCAGCAGCAGCAGCTGCTGCTGCTGCTGCACCGGCGCAGTGCTGCGCCGACTGTGCTGAAGGCTCAGCAACGGGTTGCTGTTGCGTCTTCGGCCGGGGGGGCCCCCTGGAGTTACTGCTGCAGCAGCCGCTGCTGTGGGAGAAGCAGCTGCCGCGAAGCAGCATCTGGACGCAGCTGCTGCCTCAGGCTGCACAGCAGCAGCAGCAACAACAACAACAGCAGCAGCAGACGAAACGGGGCCAGGACGATGAGCCGATGCAGTGTGAGCAGCAGCCCGATCAGGAGGATCAGCAGCAGCAGCAGCAGCAGCCACAGCAGGAACAGCAGCAGCAGCAACACCAGCAGGAAGAATGCATGCGCGAGGTCTTCGTATTTGAGGCCCTAACTAGCCAGCGCAAAGCCGGGCGTGCAGGGGCAAAGGGTCCTGCTGCTGCTGCTGTTGCGCAGCAACAGCAGCAGCTCCTGCAGCAGCAGTTGCAACACAACAATATGGATGCACTCGTAGGAGTAACAGGAGCATCAGCAGCAGGAGCATCAGCAGCAGGATCAGCAGCAGCAGCAGAATCTGGAGGCCGCTCCGTGCTGACGTGGCTGCTGCCGCATCAGCTGCTGCTCTTTGCCGGTCGCTTTGCTGCTGTTAGCGGCAACTCGGGTGTACCGTACCCGGTGACTGCAGCTTCAATCAAGATTCAGAGCAGCAGGCTGCAGCAGCAGCAGCAGCAGCAGCAGGACACTGCAACAGGTACGCTGCTTCGGCTGTTGTTGCCGCTGCTGCTGCACCGCCAGCACCTGCCTGCTGCTGCTGCCGATGCTGCTGCTGTTTAGCTGCCGATTCAACTGAGACAGTCGTATGCAGGGCTCCGGATTGACGGTTTAGGGTTTAGGGTTTAGGGTTTGTGGTTTAGGGACAGCTGATGGCGCTGCCGTTGTTCCTATCGTCTCTCTCATCACTTTGAAGGGCTTGGAGTCTCTGTTGGGCCCCACAACTGTCCGCCTGAACCCTAAACCCTAAACCCTAAACCCTAAACCCCGACCACAAGATCGTAGAACTTCAACACATGACGCATTGGCATCCCGACTCGGTGTTTCCGTGGTGCAGAATTTGCCTGGGGGCTTCAAATATAGTGTTTTGGGTTTAGGGTTTAGGGTTTAGGGTTTAGGGTTTATGGTTTAGGGTTAAAAGTTTAGGGTTTAGGGTTTAGGGTTTAGGGTTTAAGGGTGCATTCGTATTTTCAGCAGCGTTGGAGGGAAAATGCATCTTTGCAGCCGTTCTGTGGCAGGGTTGTTATAAAGAATACTTATGGTTTAGGGTTTAGGGTTTAGGGTTTGCGTGTCAGGTGGCTTTGGCGGAGTGTTTGCGGGTGTTGGGAGAGGCATTTGGCTGCAGCCCTCCCTTCGGTTGTTTGTCTCTTCTCTTCTTTCCTCTCCGTCGCGCTGCTTCGGGGGTTTGGGGCCTCGCATCATCTTCAGGTGTCGGTGCAGCGCTGCATGCAACTGTAAGCGCTCCTGCTGCTGCTGCTGCTGCTGCTGGCGCTGCAGTTGGTGCTGCAGTTGGTGCTGGTAGTGGTGGTGGTGCTGTTGCTGTTGCTGCTGCTGGTGGAGCTGGTGCGGGTAGTGCTGCTGTTGGTGCTGTTGTTGGTGGTGCTGCTGCTGGTGTTACTGTTGCTGCTGCTGTCGCTGGTGTTGCTGCTGTTGCTGCTGCTACTGCTGCTGCTGCTTGTTGGACTGCCAAAAGCGGTGCTGCTGCTGCTTTTGCTGCGGCTACTTCCGGCGCTCCCGCTGTTGAGTATGCTCTTGCTGTAGCGGCTGCTGCTGCTGCTGCTGCTGCTTACACTGCTTCTGTTGTTGCTGCTGCTGTTGCTGCTGCTGCAGTCAAGCGATGCGTCTGCTTTGGGGCTGCGGCAGCTGACAGAAGAAGGCTGTGCAGACTGCGCCATCGCCGAGGAAATGAACCGATCGTAAACCCTAAACCCTAAACCCTAAACCCTAGTCTACAAAAGTCTCCCCTTTCCATAACCGTTCAGCAGAGAAGTGGTGACAGCATAGAGGCCCAGGCACGCAGAGGTGTCTACAGCTTGTGGTTTAGGGTTTAGGGTTCAGGGGTTTGGGTTTAGGGTTTAGGGTTTAGGGTTTAGGCAAGATTTTGCTTGAAGTCTCTGTCTTAGGCTGTGGGGTGTGTGGCGTTGTTTGGTTGTGGATTTGGGTTTTGGGGTTTAATTCTAGCCCTTAGGGTTTCAGGTTAGGGTTTAGGGTTTAGGGTTTAGTAGGGGGCTAGGTCTTACAGTCGAGGGTTTAGGGTTTGTTGCTGCTTGCCGCGTAGGGCTTGTTGTTTACGGTTTAGGGTTTAGTAGTGCCTAGGGCTTAGGGTTTGTGTTTAGGATTAAGGGTTTGGGGTTTCGGGTGTAGGGTTCTTTAGGGCTTCGCAGAAGTTGAGGGTTTAGGGTTTAGGGTTTAGGGTTTGTTCAGGCCTGGTCCGGAGTACGTCGTGAGCGGGAACTTGGCGGTGCTGCCTTTAGAGTGTCTCCTAACTGCAGCAGAAGCAGCAGCAAGCAGCGCAGCGCCTCCTTCTCGTTTGCTGCTAGCAGAAGCAGTAATTCATTTGTGGATGGAGTGCTTCTACCCTACCCATCGTTTAGCAACAGAGAAAGACATATTTAGCTGCCTATACACCGCAACCCTCATTCGCAAGCTTCTCCTCGACCTCTTCATTCAAGTACAACAAACCCCAAACCCTAAACCCTAAACCCTCAAATTCGGCTCCAGATTAACCCACTCTCCTCGCTAAACTGACGGCAAAAGTCCGATAGGATCGTTGAGGGCTTAGGGTTTAGTAGATTTAGGGTTTAGGGTTTGGGGTTAATTAGGGTTTAGTAAGGTTTAGGTGGTGTATGGACAGCGTGTTTAGGCTTTAGGGTTAAGGGTTTTACTTCCTGTTGTCTGTCTCTTATTTCGACTGCTCTATCCCTTTCTCTTTTCTGTCTGTTTCTGTCTCTCTTTCTCTTTGTCTCTCTTTCTCTCTCCATCTGTCTCTGTCTGCTTCCCTCGCTCTATTTGTCTGATAACTAGCTAGCCAGCTAGCTAGCCAACTAGCCAGCTACCTAGCTACCTACAGAGTGAGCTATCTTCCTAGCTATCTACCTACCTAGCTACCTAGCTAGCTACCCAGATACTTCCTAGCTACTTACCTAGATCGCTAGCTAGCTAGCTATCTAGCTAGCGAGTTAGCTAGCTAGCTAGCTACGTACTTCATGATTAAATACTCTTCGTTTTTTGTTTTTTTTGTTTGTTTATAGACAAACTTCGGCTCTGTGGATTTGCGTATCCGACGGTGGGAGCGTTTACAGCGTTTTTTGTCTTTGTCTGAATTGGGCTTAGAGGAGTTCCCTATTGACCCTATAGGGGCATTAAACAGCAAAAGCAGCAGCAGCAGCAGCAGCAGCAGCAGCAGCAGCAGCAACATTGGGGGCAGCAGGAGCGGCGGCAGCAGCGGATATGGTGGAGGCAACAGCATGTGGCAACAACAGCAGCAGCAGGTGCTACTTCAGCAGCAGCAGCAGCAGCAGCTGCAGCAGCAGCTACCACCTGTGGAGTGTGTGGTGTATAGTGAAGTATTTCAGCTAAAGTGCTGCGTCGTTCTGCATGCATTGGAGGCAATGCTGTCTTCGCAGTCTTTTCTCTCTTCTCGTTTTCTTCTTTGTTTTTGTTTGAACGATTTCTTAGCAAAGACAAATAGAAAAAAAGAACCACCAAACGGAGACATCTTCTGGAAACGGGTGCGTATGATGATGCTGCTGCTGCTGCTGTTGTTGCTGCTGCTGGTGCTGCTGCTGCTGTTGCTGCTGCTGTTGCTGCTCTTGCTGATGCTGATTAGGATCTCGTTGCTGCTTCTGGTTTTGCTGCTGCTGCTAGTTTTTCTGATGGTGGTTTTTGCTGCTGCTGTTGCTGCTGCTGCTGCTGCCTGGGCTGGTTTTGGTGCTGCTAGGTTTGCTTCTGGTGATTTCTTTGCTGCTGCTTGTGCTGTTGTTGCTGTTGCTACTGCTGCTGATGCTGCTGTTGATGGTGTTGCTGCGGTTGTTGCTGCTGCTTCCGCTGCTGTGCTTTCACCGTCTTTTCTTCTACGTCTGTTTCTGCGGCTTGCACTGCTTGTACTGCTGTTGCTGCTGCTGCTGTTGCTGCTGCTGCTCCTGCTGTTGCTGGTGTTGCTGCAGCTGCTGCAGGCTGTAACAGCAGCATACGTTGCTCACTGGAATAAAACCCCACAGGCGCGGAGTGGCGGTCGTTCGTCTCTGCGATTAAAAACAGAAAAACATAAAGGAGGGTTGGAGGCGCTTGAACTAGAAAACAACGAACCCGTCAACCCACAAGTAAACCCTAAACCCTAAACCCTAAACCCTTCAGAACAGGTCCAGGCGTTTCCACGAAGCCCGTGTTGAGACGGGATTGGTGTTGCGCAGGCATGCACAGCGAATAATAACCTTAAACCCTAAACCCTAAACCCTAGACCCCAAAACCCTAAACCCTAAGTCCTGCGGGTTGGGGAGAGGGGGGGTTTTTAAACCCTTGCGGATAGAAAACTTTTGAGGGTTTAAGGCTTAGGGTTTGAGGGTTTGCTGCAGGACCACGACGCCCTCGTAACGCTGGAGGAGACACTTCGCTTGTTCCGTGCTGCATTTGTTGCGGGTAGCGGCTGCCCTCAACTGTCTCTTTCTTTCATGCTGCAGCTGCAACGTAAAGGCTCCTCTATGGATCTCTTTAACTTTGCTCTCGATCTCCTAGCGCTGCAGCCGCCTCCTCCCCTAAGCGAACCACCGCAGCAGCACGGGTTGCTGCAGCAGCAGCAGCAGCAGCAGCAGCAACAACAACAACAGCAGCAGCAAGAGCACCTGCACACAAGGCCACAAGTTGATCAGGCAGGGGTCTCCGTCTTCTACCCCGCAGGTCCGTATGCATGCATTTATTCATGCATGCGGCTGCTGCTGCTGCTGCTGCTGCTTGTTTGATGGTGCTGCGGCATGCGTGTTGTTGCTGCTGCTGCATGGATGTTGCTGCTGCTGCTGCTGCGCACATTGGCTCGGCGTTACTACCACTACTACTACAACTACTGCTGCTGCTGCTGCTGCTGTTGCTGTTGCGTGCTAGCTGTGGGGCAGTTCTTGCTGCAGCGGCATTGCGCTTGCTGCTGCTTTGTTTGCGCGTTTGCTGCAGATATTGCTGGGCTTGCTGCTTTTAATCTATGGCAAGCACAGGAGACAGGCAGCAGCAGCGAACAGGCTGAGGTGTCTCTCCGTCTTGCTGCAGAGACAGCAGGATCTCCTGCTGCTTCTTCGTGGGAGTGTCTCCTCGTGCGTCTCCTCTGGCCCGTGCTTCGCCGCCAGCCCCACTCAGCAGCAGCAGCAGCAGCAGCAGCAGCAGCTTCCCGTAGCCGCAGCAGCACCCGCAACAGCACCGCCGTCAACGGCAGCGGCAGCAACAGCAGCTCCCTCAGCAGCATCTTCCCCCGCAGCAGCAGCAGCAACAACAACAACAGCAGCCCCCGCAGCAGCAGCAGTTTAGTGTATGAGGGCATATTAAGCAGCGAGCTGCTGCCTTCTAGCTCGCATCTAACCGAACGTTTGCTGCTGCTGCAGGGTTTGCACGACCCTGTTGATGTTATAGGAAGAGACGGAAATTTTATTTTAGGGTTTGGCTATGCTGGGGATATACCGGCGCCTTTAAATGCAGGCAGGGGCCCCCTCTGGCAAGCTATTAAAGAAGCACAGAGGCGCTGCTGCATGCAGCAGCAGCAACAGCAGCAGCAGCAGCAACAACAACAGCAACAGCAACTACAGCATGGGGACGATGACCCCAATGAACAAAACGGAGACTCTTTCGCTGCTCTCTGCGTGGATAATGAAAGATGTAAACCCTCACACTCGACAAAACCCTAAACCCTAAACCATTGCTGACCTTAAACTCTAGGGCGTACACACACGCACCGCAAGGAGTTCCTCTTGTTAGCGTTTCCTTGTGCAGGGGTCTACCAGACTGTGCGGTTTAGGGTTTAGGGTTTAGGGTTTAGGGTTTGGGGTGTATGTGCAGCTCCTCCTTCTGTACCGGTTGCAACGGTTGGGGGTTTGCCTTCATGGGCTCGGCTGCTGCAGCAGCGGGATTATTTGCTGCGGCTGCGAGCAGCAGGCAACAGCGCGTTATGGAGGCGCAGCGTCGGGGTGTATGTACACTCCGTGGTGCCTGGTACGCTGTCTGCTGCTCTTGTAACAGAGCTGCTGCCTCAAGCAGCAGAATGCGGCTTTGAATTCACAGGTAGCCTCTGCAGCAGCAGCAGCAGCAGCGGCAGCAGCAGCAGCGGCAGCAGCGGCAGTAGCAGTTGCTGCTGCGTGGTGGGGCGAGGTTTGTTGCAGTACGTGGGGTTCGAGGTGTCTGCGCCTGAGGGCCCGGTGCAGCAGCAGCTGCTGTCGCTCCAGCAACCAGCAGCATATCTTCATTTGTCTTGCGGCTATCAGAAGTATTGGCTGTCTTTGCTGCAGCTACAAGTTGTTGATGACGATATCATTAGAGGCAGCAATGTCTTTCTTAAAGAGGGGTCGCTGCCTCTTCGGTTTGCACTCGATGCAAGAGCAGAACGCGGCAGGTAACCCTAAACCCTAAACCCTAAACCCTAAACCCTAACCCCTAATCAAAACCCGAAACCCTAGTGAAAATCCTAAACCCTACAATGCCGTTTTTAGAGAGGGATCGCTGCCTCTTCCATTTGTATGCAATGCAAGGGCAGAACACGGCAGGCAGCTCTAAACCCTAAACCCTAAACCCTAATCAAAACCCTAAGTCAGAATCGCTAGTAACCATTCCCAGTACAACCACCAAACCCTAAACCCTAAAACGCTCAAATCCTAATAACCTCAAGCCCCCGATATTTGCAGCAACCCTAAACATCGTTAAAGATACACCCTAAATGCTAATAACCTGTACTCCCTAAACCCTAAACCCTAAACCGCCTGCGGTGTCTATGGCACAGGAAGAAAGTTGCAATGAAAGGAGATCGAATGCTGCACGGCTCCTGCAGCAGCAAAGTCCTCATGAAGGCAGCAGCAGCAGCTGCTGCAGCAACGGATGCCCCAGCAGCAGCAGCAGCAGCAGCTGCTGCTGCTGCTGCTGCTCAAGCTGCAGCAACAGCTGAAGGCCCTGAACCCACTACGGCTAGACCAGGATCGGGAGGCATGGGGACCGGAGACCGCATCACCGTAAACCCTAAACCCTAAACCCTAAACCCTGACCGCATCCATACACCGGAATGCTGTAGCTTGTTTATGTATCCCTTCATTTGTGTTTCTCGATCAGCAATAATTCCCCTTCTTTTTGTGCTAGGGTTTAGGGTTTTTAAGGGTTTAGGGTTGTTATGGGTTATTTTGTTAAGGGTGGTTAAGGGTTTAGGGTTTAGGGTTTGTGGGGTTTAGCGTTTACGCTTTGTGACAGTTTGCAGGGTCCCTAAGCAGCAGCGACAGGGCTCTTGTAGACAGCCTCAAGCGCTGCGTGCTGCAGCGGCATCCGTCTCTGCTGTCTCTTGATAATCGATCCCTAGTAGCGAAGGTGAACAGCAAAACAAAACTGCCTTTATTGTGGATTCGAGCAGACCCTAACCTTACCTGGCCGGCGAGGTAAACCCTAAACCCTAAACCCTAAATCTTAATCCCTGTTATACCCGAGGTAAAACCCTCATTAATACAATACACACCAAACCCTAAACCCTAAACCATACTATATCAAATCAGCGAGCATTCACCCTAACAATAAATAAGCCCTAGGAAACCCTAGAAAACCCTAATCAACACTAATAAACCCTACTAAACCCTAATTAACCCAAGTGTACTCTTGTAAACCCAAACCCTAATCAACCTTAGTAAACCCTAGTAAACCCTAGTAAACCCTAGAAAACCCTAGTAAACCATAGGGTTTCAAACCCTGGTAAACCCTACCAAGCGAAGCCTAACGAACCCAAGTAAACCCTAAACCCTAATTGAGCACCATGAGCCACAATAAACCCTAAACCTGAGTAAACCCTAAACCCGAGTAACCCCCAATAAACCCTAATAAACCGTAAACCCTAGTACACACTAAATCGTAATACACCCTAGATCCGAGTAAACCCTATTCTTTCGTAAACCCTGATAAACCCTAAATTCTGTTATACCCTACACCCACATAAACCGCAAACCCTCATAAACTTCAGATTGTGATTATGCTCAACCCTAATAAACCTTAAACCCTAAACCCTACCAAGAAATTCGTAGAGTCCCGGCGCGACGCATGCAGTATATTGCTGGCGAGGGTTTTATCTGTTGGGGTCTTGACACCTAGGGTTTATGGTTTTAGGGTTTAGGGTTTAGGGTTTAGGGTTTGGGCGTTGCTGAAGGATCCGGCGTTGCCAGAGCGGGTCGATGTGGGAGCAACAGCTGCTGTCGGAGACATCTGTGGGGTTTCAGCTGGAAGCAGCAGCAGCACTTGGTGGTTTGCTGCCGCTGCAGCAGCAAGGAGGTTTAGGGGGAGAGGACCCAGTGAAGGCGCATGCAGTTATTGCCCTTAGCAAAGCCCTTGCGTCGCACAGGTCTCACCCTTTCTTCCGGTACCCCCAAACCCTAAACCCTAAACCCTAAACCCTAATTCCTAGTCTTCAGCCTGTCACGCAGTCGCTCTCACTTATTTGGCCTTGGAAGAGTCAAGCGTTTGCTCCACCAGCGCAGCCTTGGCGGCGCAACGCCTAGGGTTTTAGGGTTTAGGGTTTAGGGTTTAGGGTTTGGTGTTGCAGGGCTCGTGCGGCGTTTGCACTGACCCGACTGCACAACACGGGGGGCGAGGAGTGTGGGGCCGCCTGGCAGGCCTTTGCAAACTACATATCTTCTTTCCACAGCGAAGCTGTCTTAGACGTAAACCCTTAACCTAAACCCTAAACCCTAAACCCTAAACCCTAGTTGTCGGAGCATTCATGCCCGTGCAGCTGCTGATCCGCCAGCAGCGTTCTGGCTTCAAAGTGCCTTCTTTGTTTGCTTGCATCGTATAGGGATAGATATTCAAGGGTTTAGGGTTTAGGGTTTAGGGTTTGTATGCAGGCGGAGGCCACTGAGGTGACGTCTCCTCCTGAGTCTGGCGAGGGCACAGGCAACGGCGAGTGGGGAATATCTGGAGCTCCATCAGCTTCCGCTGCAGCAGCAGTAGCAGCAGCAGCAGGGGGGCCCCCAGCAGCAAATGAAGCACGGGGACCCCTCACAGATTCTCTTAGACTTTCCTATTATGCATGCACAGCCCCTGAGAGCCGCTTTCTACGCCACTTCTTTGGGGCTGTCTCCCTTGTCAGAGACGCAAAAGGCCTGTAAGGGCTCTTGCTGCTGCTGCTGCTGCTGCTGCTGTTGCTGCTGCTGCTGCTGATTGTGCTGTTTGGTGTATACGCGTTGTTGGTGTGCACTTCGACCGAGCAGGAAACACCCAGAGGCTCAGGGTGGCGTTCATTTGCTGCTGTTGCTGTTGCTGCTGCTGCTGTTTCTGTTTTGTGCAGCTCGCCGCCTGCCTCCATCGACTTGCTGCTGCAGCCGCTGCAGCAGATGGAGCCGACAGCAGCAGCAGACAGCGCAGCTCTGCTGTCTCTTGGTGCTGCTGCGTTAGACTGTCTAGGCAACTTGAGGTGGCCATACACCCCAATGCCCAGCCTCACAGAGTCTCTACACCCCTACTTTGCTGCTGCAAAGGTAACATCCGCATCGGCAGCAGCAGCAGCAGCAGCACTTGCAGCAGCAGCAGCCCACTTGCACCACCAGCAGCACTTGCAACAGCAGCAGCAATGCTACCACAAGCAGAACCAGCCGCCGTAGCAGCAGTAGCAGCAGCAGCAGCATTCCACCAGCAGCAGCAACAGCAACAGCAGGAGCCGCACAATATTCTTGTCCTAGCAGCTTCCAAAAGGGCTTCAGCTGCAGCAGCATGTTCTTGTGTTATTTGTACAGCTGAATATGTGTGCTGCTGCTGCTGCTGCTGTTTGCGCGACAGGCTGGCTACACGTGGCTGCTGCAGTGCAGCAGCGAGGGTCCAGGGGGCCCCCTGGGCGTGGGGCTTAGAGGACGGTTTGCTGCTGGAGGGTTTTCTTGTGGCTGCAGCTGCGAGCAGCTGATTAAGGAAGAGTGTGCAGCAGCAACAACACCGAGAGCAGCAGCAGCAGAAGCAGCAGCAGCAGCAGCAAACTGGGAGACGTTCGTCTTCTCTAGCTGCAGAGGACTGGAGGCAGCTTGGATTGAAGCCTGGCGCCTCTTTAGACTTGATGCTGTCAAAGCCCTCGCTTCCCCCAGAAGAGTAAGGGTTTAGGGGTTAGGGTTTAGGGTTTTCGGAGGTGTAGGGTTTCAGGAGGCTAAGGGTTTAAGGGAAGGGTTTAGGGTTTAATAGTGTTGAGATGGGTTTAGGGTTTACGGGGGTTTAGGGAGGTTGGTTTAGGGTTTAGAGAGTGTGGTTTAGGGTTTAGAGAGTGTGGTTTAGGGTTTAGGGCAGTTTAGGGTTTAGGGTGATCTGGGTTTAGGGAGGTTGAGTTGCTGCTGCTGCTGCTGCTACGTTGCTGCATTCCGTCTACAGCATCTGCTGCTGCTGCATTTACTACTGCTTCATTTGCTGCTGCTGCTGCTGCATCTGCTTGCCACAGGTGCATCTGCTGCTGGTGTATGTGCTTGCTGCTGCTGCATGCTCTTGCTGCTTTTGCATTTGCTGGATCTGCTGCTGCTGCATTCGCTGCTGCACTTGCTGCTGCTGCTGCTGCTGCTGCTGCAGGAGATGACTTGTGCATTTTTGCGAGCTGTCTCTCGAAGTCCTTTGCTGCGGGATTTGTCTCGCCTTCGTTTTGTTGGTGGCTGCATGCGCGTGCAATTGGGGTGTATAGACAGATGGGGAGAAAGAGAGGGCCCTTCTCCTTTAAAGCCTTCTTTGCAGCCTCTAGGTGCTGCTAATGCTGCTGCTGCTGCTGCAGCTCGTAGCAGTAGCAGCAGCAGCAGCAGCTGGTTGCCGCAGGAGTTCGGGCTGCCGTTTGATTTGCTGCACTTCATCAGCAGCAGCAGCCGCTGCGCCTTCTTAGAACGGCTCTTCCCTGCTGCAGCAGAAGCACTCGCAGCCTACGACTTCCCCCTAGTAACCCTAAACCCTAAACCCTAAACCCTAAAACCTAAAACCTAAACCCTAAACCCTGAGCTGGCGATAACTAAGCCCCTCCGCTGCCTGCGCGGGAGACAGCATGCTTCGTACCCTAAGAATGTTCGGGGTTTAGGGTTTAGGGTTTAGGGTTTTAGATGATGTGCTGCCCCGCAGGTGCGAAGAGAAGCCATCCGAGCCTTGCTGCAGGTTTGCTGCGAGGGAGCTGTTAGGGTTTACAAAATCCCTGTGTCTCGCCCAGCAGCAGGAGCAGCAGCAGCAGCAGGAGCAGCAGCAAGCAAAAACAGCAACACGCAGCAGCAGCAGCAGCAGCAACAGCAGCAGTGGTGCTTAATATCCAAGTTTGTCAGCCCAGAGGAACAGGTCTTAAGGTCGCAGGTGAGGGACTGTCCTAAACCCTAAACCTTAAACCCTAAACCCTAGACCCTAGACCCTAAGCCTCGCCTGCAACAGCAGAACCCCCAATTGCTCTGCTTATTGCTGCCTGCTGCTGCTGTTGTGGAGTATCGATCCGCTTTGAAGGGTTTAGGGTAGGGTTCTTCTATGAAGACTGAGGGTTTAGGGTTTAGGGTTTAGGGTTTGCGTGTGCGTTTGCAAGGTGGGGTTGGGTGTGTATACCGCGCTGCAAGTGGCTATCTGCCTAGACACCCCAGAGAGCGATCCTCAGGGTTGCATCTGGAGCAGCTTGCTGCTGCTGCTGCAAGAGCTGCGAGCAGCAAATCCGCTGCTGTTCCTTCCCTTCTCTGGGCATGCACCCGGCATGCTGCTGCCAGATGCAGCAGACAAGTCGCAGCAGCAGCAGCAACAGCAACAGCAACAGCAACAGCAGCAGCAACAGCAGCAGCTGCAGCCGCCCCACGTGTGCTGCCTCCTTGGCTGCCTCGGCAGCCACTGCGATATCAGTCTACCTGCAGCAGCAGCTGCAGCAACAACAGCGGCAGCATCAACAACAACAGCAACAGCAGCAACAACGGCAGCAGCAGCAGCTCGACAGAACCACCTTGTGGCTGTTGGCTGCTTTGTGGCGCAAGCAGCTTCTACGCTGCTGCATTTGCATATGCAGCAGCAGCTGCAGCAGCAGCAGCTGACAGCATCAGCAGCACCGAATCTGCAGCATATTTCTTCTGTTCGTAATTTTCTCTTTGGGGTAGGGACGCCTCCTTGTTGGTTGCCGCTGCAACGGGAGCTTGCTGCTTCGCTCTGCAGCAGCAAGACGCCAGCAGCAGCAGAGGCAGCTGCTGCTGCTGCAGCGGGACTGACAGATCCTGCTGTGGCTGCTGGCGCTGCAGCGTTTGCTGCTTGCACTCGATTCAAAGAGGGCTCAGCAGCAGCAGCAACAGCAGCAGCAACATGCGTGCCTCGCCCGCCTCCACTTTCACCGCCCCGCCGATCAGCAGCAGCAGCAGCAGCAGCAGAATCAGCACAAACACCAACAGCAGCAGCAGGCCAAGCAGCAACAGCAGCATGCCCAACAGCAACAACAGAAGCCCCAGCATCAGGACGATCATCAGCAGCAGAATCAGCAGAATCAGCAGCAACAGGATCAGCAGCAGGAGAAGCAGCGGAAGGTGGTTTGGTGTGTCTGCCGGATGCATGCAGCAGCAAGTTATATTTGAGCTTTATTAGGAGCGGCAACGAGCAGCAGAAGATGTGGGGTTTTAAGCGTAAGTATATAGACAGAAAAGATAGCTTAGGAGACTGGAGAGAGGTAGCAGCAGCAGCAGTTGCTGCTTTATTAGAGCTGCCTGAAGCAGCATGGTTTGGGCCGCATCCAGAGACAACAGCAGCAGGATATAGTAAATATATTGCTGAGCCTATGTGGTTGCAAAGAGTAGAAGAAAAGATAGCAGCAAATGAATATCTACTTCCTTATCATTTCAAGCAAGATATGGCGTTGATATTTAAGAATGCACGTCTCTTTAATTCACCTCAAGATAAACCTTATAGAGATTGTTGCATTGTAGAGCAGAGGTTTCATCAGCTGTGGGCTCCTATTAATGCTGCTTTCCAAAGAGCAGCAAGACATAAAAGAATGCATCATTCTCAGCAGCAGCAGCAGCAGCAGCAGCAGCAACAGCAGCAGCAACAACAACAGCAGCAGGAAGAAGAACAGATGCACGGGGTGCAGCAACAGCAATACACTCAACAGCAGCAAATGCACGATGAACAACATGTGCAGCAAACTCCAAAAGAACAAAATATTACCTTTGACACAGATGCAGCAGAAACAGAAACAGCAGCAGCACCAGCAACAGCAGCAGCAGCAGCGGGGACATCACTTGATTTCAACACCACGCCGATGACGCCCATAACGCTACAAACGCAGCAGCAGCAGCAGCACCAACAGCAGCAGGAGGAGGAGGACTGTTTTTTCGATGCGGTGACACCGCAGCAGCAGCAGACGCCGCCGCAGCAGCAACAGGAACAGCAGCAGCAACAGGAACAGCAGCAGCAGCCGGATCAGCAGCAGCAGCAGGATCCGCAGCAGCAACAGGATCAGGATCAGCAGCAGCAGATAGGCATTCTGGAATAGCGGAATGCTGTTGCTTTTTGTGCATTTGAGGTGTACATACACCTGAAGACAGACACTGCTGCCCCCTAGGGCTGCGAAGTATGTTTGTTTGCTTATTACTTTAAAAACAACAAAAATATATTTATTATTTTGTTTTTCGTCTCAATAGCATTTATTTATTTCTAAGATATTTTATATTTCTTCTGTAGCACATGCAGCTGGAGGCCCCGGTGCTGCTGGTGCTGGTGCTGCTGGTGCTGGTGCTGGCAGCAGCAGCTCAAAGCCTGAGGTGTACAGACACCACTGCTGCTGCAGCAGCAGCTGCAGCGGCAACTCGCACCACAAATCCCTTAACTCCTCCGGGCCCTCCAGCAGGTCATCCTCTATGCTTCTGCACAAGCACACAAATAAACAACAAACAAAAGCTGCTGCTGCTGTTGTTGTTATTGGTGCGGCCGTTGTTTCTGTTGTTGTTGCTGCTGCTAATGCTGTTGTTGATGCTGCGGCCACTGCTACTGCTTATGTTCCTGTTGCTGCTGCTGTTGGTGGTGTTGCTGCTGCTGCTCATGATACGTTGCTGGCGGGCTACCAACCAGACGGCCCCCTGTTGCTGCTGCTGCTTCTTTAGCAGCAGCCAAGGTGTCTATCTGCAACAGCAGCAGCAGCAGTAACAGCAGCAAGAGCAGCAGCAACAGCAGCAGGAGTTACCTGCGGATCTCTTCGCCTTCCGGGTCAATTTTGTGCGTAGGCTCTGCTGCTGCTCTTTGGTTCAGCCGACGCGCTGCTGCTGCAAGGCTGCTGCTGCTGTTGCTGCTGCTGTTGCTGGTGCTGCTGCTGGTGCTGCTGCTTGTGGCTGGAGAAGAAGACTCAAGCGATGCCTGAACACAGTAGCAGCTACATACACATCCAGCTTCGTAAGTGCAAGAGCAGCAGCAGCAAAAGAAAACGCAGCAGCAGCAGCAGGTGTTGCTGCAGCAGCAAAGACAGCCAATTCAACTCGACTAAGGGGAACGCAATAGCAGAGACAGCAGCAGCAGCCGCAGCAGTAGCAGCAACAGCAGCAGGCACTTACCAACACAGCAGAAAGGGCCTCCCCCTCCCCAGCTCCTCCTTGCTGCTGCTGCTGCTGCTGCTGCTGCTCTTTGTCTATTTCTGCAAGTACGCTAAGGAAAGGACGAAATGTAGCAGAAGTGTTAAGGGGTGAGATCTCGCTGGGGGCGGTGCTGCTTCTGCTGCTGCTGCTTCTCCTGCTGCGGCTGTTGCTGCTGCTGCTTCTCCTGCTGCTGCTGGTTCTACTGCTGCTCCTGCTACTGCCGCTGCTTCTGCTGCTGCGTATGTCGTGTGTAGGACGTGACGTGGCAGCACTAGAAGCCGCTTCCCCGCTGCTATCTGCTGCTGCTTCTTCTGCTGCTGCTGTTGCTGCTGCTGCTGGTGATCCATGTTCTGTATCGTCTGTTTCCGCTCGTGCTGCTTGAGCTTGTGCTGCTGCATCTTCATCTGCTGCAGCGGGCGTTGTGTCTCTGTCTTCCCCTACCAGTACATCCGCCGGCTGCTGCTGCTGCTGCTGCTGCTGCGGGGCCTCAGCATCAGGCTTAGTTTGCTGCGTCGCTTCTTCCGTTTGCTTTGCATGCGACTCGCTCTGGAGTTGCTGTTCGCGTTGGTATTCGGGAAGAGGCTTTGCTGTTGTTGCTGTTGCTGCTGCTGCTGCTGCTGCTTCTGCTGCTGCTGCTGCTGCTGCTGAGTCCTCTGCTAGGAAGACCCATCGGTATAAAGTAAAGTCGGGCAAATCTAACAGCGTAGCCAACTCAACAACTTTAACTCCGGCAGCAAGCAGCGCGAGAGTGTTGCTGTCTCCAGCTGCTGCTGCTGCTGCTGCTGCTGCTGCTGGTGCTGGTGCTGCTGCCCCTGCTTCTCCTGCTGCTGCTGCTGAAGGAGAAGCAGCAGACCCAAGAGCCCCTGAAAATATTCGAATTAACTCTGTCATTATAATTGGCCAAACGGGGGTGCGAGCAGCGAGAGGAAGCCGCAGCAGCAGCACCCGCACGCACAGAAACACCTGCACACAAACCCTAAACCCTAAACCCTAAACCCTGAACCCTAAACCCTAAACCCTAAACCCTGTAGAGCAAACTGCGCTGAGAGGAATAAAGCTATAAATATTATATGAAGGAATAAAAGGAGACAGTAAAAGAGACAGAAATATGCAGAGGAGATCAAACGAAACACCGCCTGAGCAGCATAAATATATGCATATGCATATTTATATTACAATGCATTATATATATAAACATATATATATATATATATATATATAGGTACTTCATATATATATATATATATTTATGTACATATACATATATATATATTATATCAAATATATATAATATATATTTCATTTGCGTGATAAGAAGAGACACGTCTTCATTTGAATGTACAGGTTCATATATATATATATATATATATATATACATATATAAACATATATATATGTATAAACATATAT